ATCACTAGTAAATATAGTTCCGAGGTACTTGAACTTCTCCACCTGCTCCACTGCCTCTCCGTTAATCTGATGAGAGCAACGGGCAGCAGAACGAGAAATTTCACTAGGCTTTTCGTTTTAGATGCGCTCACATGCATACCGGTTACATTGCACTCGGCTTCGAACCTTTCTAGGGAGCACTGAAGATCAGTTTCAGAAGAAGCTAATACAACAAGGTCGTCTGCAAACAGCAAACTTCTTGTTTCCACATCTCCTACACCGATACACCCATCGCCTTGCTGCACCTGAGTATTCTATCCATGTACAACACAAACAGGAGGTGGTAGAGGATGCAGTCTTGCCGGAGACTGGAGCCACGCCAATAGTTTCCTAGCCAGTGTTGCATTAAATATGCTGCATTCTTTTACATTTCATGGCTAACACTTCGTACCGATTTGCTCCAGCACTTTCTTGAATATCAAAGAAGGGATGCTTATTGTCAACGCCTAGGTTTCCAATCCGTCTTAAGAGGATCATAACAATTTAGTAGAACATTGGATGTCCCATGCTACAAAAAATGATACAACAAATTGGGCGGTCAAAACTCCCTCGTAAATATAAAGCAATGAAACCTGTCTGAACCCGTTTAATAAAGACTATTCACAAAAATTGAACATCAAAATCACTAAGCAATGTGCACTATGGGAATGGAGGAGGCTGATGACTTTGGTCTTTCCTTTGTTCTGGCACCTCTATTCCCGGGACGAGAGTAACTGAACCGCCTAAAATTTTAACTTTTTATGCACTTTATTAACAAAGGCAATGAAAAGTGACGTCACTTTATGTTTGACTTTCTGGACTTTCTCTTCCATTGGGGAGCCTTGGCCTGGAAACTCGGTGCTCGCTGGTTGTTTACCTCCATTTGAGACGCAAACTCGGCCGGAAAATGTGAAGTCTGTGAAACGAATCTAGACGCCGCAGACGACGCCGACGTCCTTAAGCCTTTCTCCAAAGTCTTTAATTCGTCTTTCATCCTATCTGATTCCCTACCTAAGAAAGGAGAGAAAAAAGAAATTTTTTAGTAACTGAACTGCATTTTACTTCATTTCCATAAATTCATAGTGATTTAATGACAATACATAGATTTACAAAAATTAAATTCTGAGAAAGGCGAAGCCTTCCGATCCTTCCCTGTAATGGATTTATAAAGCGTGAAGCAGCACTTTATTTAGACGCTGACGCTTCCCTCACACTTATGGTGTTAACCATAACGAAAGGTACTGTCCTGATAGTGGATATCACAAGATTAAACAGGGACGAGGAAATCCATAGCGGAATTGAGACTGCGTCTGTTGTGATGACTGACAGATGGGGACTACCTAAAGCTTATGATTTTTCATTTTTATAGCGATTGAACGACGACTTCTTTCACAGATACTGATGTCTTGTAATTAGATATTCATATCGATTGTGTGTCGGTGAATGAGGTATACAGAGAGTCAGCATGGCAGTCATTCAATCACTCAGTTTCCATCACGGCTTTTATTTCCAGGACACGAAGGCAGCGGCGTCAGACAGTGTCTCCAACGTATCACATCCTATGCTAGCGTCTGAGCGTCCATAGAATAAATCTGAGCCTGGAGTACAGTCGTCAAGACACTTGCCCCAAATCGTTCTTAACAATCCTGTGAGTCTTCGGCTGGTCGTCAAGTAAGTATTGGCTGTTTCGCCTTCCTTTCCAGAGGCATGCATTAGCAAAACGTGTATAAACTGTCGCAGCTGTGACTTCTCAGTGTGGAGAGGCGACAGCTATACATCTAGGCACTCTCAGATATCTGCACCTCAGTTCAAATCGAGATATGTGAGCTAACCAATTCGTGTCAGAAATCCCATTTCAGTCGCTTTTACCCGAGATTGAAGGTTTTCCATTTTTAGTCATGGCCCAGATTCATAACCGCAGGTAAAGATGGACTTCAACAGTTCAACACTGAGAGCTTAATCTTCAGACTGAACCATGCTTTAGTCGCAATGGTTTAATCTGGTCCGTTTCAATTCGCCGCTGTCACTCCCCATAGTGATCAGGAAGAAACTATTCATTT